CTCAATAAGAAGACGCAGACACTTACCAAAAGCGAAACAATAATAAAGCGTCTAAGTGGGCGATTGAACACCATATTGTTATTTCATATCAGTGAATATAAATAAATAACTATGGCCAATTTACGAGTTTTCCTGGGGGTTTTCTAGATGAATTGTTGTTTATTTAGATAATAAATAATTTCCAGATATTTCTGTGAAAGATACATGACCATGACCGCGTTCGGCCTCGTCTGACAACACCTAATGGACGGGGCCACGTGTTGGCAGGGTACTTGCGTGAAGAGGGTTTCTGAGATTCACAACGCACAGAAAACATGGCAACTTTCACGTAAACACTTAATCTAAATTATAACTGCTGGTCCTATCAAGGAGGCAACAATGACCATATATTTCTCCGTCCGGATGCGTAAATATGCATTTTCGTGAAAGAAAGTGTCTAACAGAGTGGGACGAGAATTGTACTGGGTTACGTTTAAAAGATCTGCCGCACGAAACCTCCGCCCGCTCTCTCCTTTGATGTGAAGTACTCCAAAGTACTTTGCTATTTCGGCCGTCAACTGGTTCAGGTTGAAAATAAGCCTGCTCCGTCACCCACGCCTACTTATTGATTGACTAGGTGCTTTTGAATACTGTGGCGAAGGGTCTGGGGACGCGCATCCAAGGTGAGTTGGAGAGACGTGGCTATGCATATCATAGAATATTTTCTCCATAAATCGTAAGAGGCAGTGAATATGACAACCATTCAGAACTGACATTGATGTGTTTGCATTTCTTAAATAGGCGTTAGAGCTGATAACGCAATTTTATAATTACGTTAATTCTCTGCCCGTTCCAAACGAATAGTTTTACAATAAGAAGACCTAGTGAAGCGAGAACAATAAAGGACATTACTGTCCTGAAGTACTCGATAAACCCATGAAGATATAAAAGAACCTGAAGGGGGGAAAGGCATACAGCACAAGTGGCCTTTTTGATGAAACTACTCGGCTCTGCCTTTGTAACCTTCTCGGCGTTAGTTGTGTAACATACTGAAAGTCCAGGTCAATAAGCTATATCTGTTTGGTATCCAGAACGTTTACTTACTTTTCATTCAGAAGCCTATGATAACTAATCGTAAAAATCCTATCCCTGGTGTACGCACGAAAAGGAGCCTCGGGAGCGTGTGTTCTGGAATTGTCTCCTTGATTCAACAGTCTCGGTCGGTTATATATTCTTCAATGACTGACTTCATTTTGGGGCTCGGCTAACAGACGCTGTGAGATTTGGTAGGGGTTTCATTTATGACCCTCAAATAGGACATGGAAGTAGGAGTGCTCTGTAATACCGATGGTTCTGCACCAAGTTCCAGTAAACTTATTTTTATGCTTGCGGTTAGTATTGATCTCAAGTTTAGGGGTCCGGTTTAATGTTTAGGGTCAGGGTCAGAGTTAGATTTAATACACGGGAATATATACCCATCTTGGAGGATAGCCCGAAGGCCAGCTGCACTACGGGAAGGGGGTAGAGCGCTCCAATCCCCTGCGAAATATAAGCACCTTCGACTAAATCTGTACCTCTATAAGCGGCTAGTCAATAAATCCTCGCAGAAGATTTTAGTCCTGTAGCTTAGCTCAACTGTCCGTGTTTGCAAATAAAACAATCAAAGGGAGCGGCTTAGAAGAATGTGCGGCACAAACTAGCACATCCGAGAGGTTCCGCTTAGATATAACCCAGCCAACTGTGCCCTTTAGGCACTCACCTCTGCGTTGATGTCAGTGTGGCATAGTGAGACGAATGCTTACGTAATCGAAAGGGAATATTTGGACACTAGTTAAGGGTGTCTTCCAAATCTTCTGCATGACTCTACCGACGGAGGTGACGGATCGGAGGTTAGCCAGTGGGAAAACTTTTAGTCTCATGGAATTCCTCCGACAGTTAGTCTGTTCAGTGATTTCACAGACGAAACCGGACGTGAGAAGCGCTGAGCAGGGATCTTGAATTTTTCACGACAGATTTATGTCAATTTCTTGGCAGCTTACGCCATAGGGAGGCTGTATATACTACAGCCCGGTTGCGCTTAGGAAGAGAAGAAGTTAAACATTAGTTGAGAGCATTCTGCACGGAATTGTTGGAGAACAGGTAGCAGCCAGACGAGACATCACGCCTCGCGGAGCGGAGTCCTCTCACAGCGCCTTAGGCGAGGGCATGTCTCAGTCGGTCTTGAAGATGATTGGTCGATTTTGGCAGCCGCGATTGGCCGAGAACCAGATTGTCCCCGGTGTGCACGTGCAAGTATGCAAAAGAGAGGCAACGTTGCAACAGGCGCCCGGAGAAAGGACAATACAGTCGTGAATGAACGTTCACCGATCGCTAACGCATCTCACTCGTCCCACTCTGCCATGGGGCTCATTCTCGTGCTTTGACAACCGTAGCAACTAGTAGTATGGGCAGATAGTATTACCGGCAAAGACAAAGGAGATTGAAATGGCCATTTCTGGCTTATTATCAGCCATCAGCCAGTCATACCCAACCACCAGTGGTGCACCAAACAACGAGATTGTGGTTCAATTGTTAGATCATTTGACCTCTGCTCAAAGTGTCGCGGATTCGAGCTTCGGTCGTTGTACCAGTTTTGGTTGGACGTGACTGGCTGACGAAGGCTAATAAGCCAGAAATGGTCATTCCCGCCTCCACTGTCTTTGGTGTTAATGCTATCTGCCTAAGGACTACTACGCCTGACTTGACTAACGCAGCACACCTGGACAGGAAGGTATTTAATGCTGTTCCCACAAACAGCAGCTAGAAACACTGTCACACGCCCTGGCTCCATCAACGGCCAGGGTTCTGTACGCCCCATTCTGGTGCATTTGGTGTTCTCCTGTTTATCGGAATTTTGTTTGATCATTGTGGCACTGTGAGCAAACGGGTTACTTAGTGTTGTAACATGGCGTGTTCCTGTGTCAACACTGGTTATGTCCCCCAGTACGTGTTAGGAAGAGAAGACAGAACAAGATAACAGCTAGTACTTTACTGTCAGTTGTACTAGTACATCAGCTCTGTTCCTGTGTGTCCAGCAGCTTGTGTTCTGTGGTCGGTCTCGTATCGGCAGCAGTCTCTCGTCTTGGGAAACAAAGTCCCGAGCTGCTCGCAGCCTCGCTATTTAAGTGACAGTCGTCATTGCTCCCCATTGGCTCTCCATTGTCGTCGTGAGCGCGCTCGCTAACGCGCGCCTGTGCATCTGTCCTCAGCGTGACCTCACTCATAGCAGCAGCTCGGCCCCGGGGTAGTCTCGTTTGCGTGTGCCTCCTTTGTCTTGGCCTAATTTCCGCCCTTTGAAGGTCGCTTTTAACTGCATAAACCGGTCGTCAGTAAGGACTCCTTGTTCTGGTACTCTCCGGATTTCCCGAGTGATAACTCGCGTCCGGGACGTCCTAACACCTAGAAGCTGGAAACCCATCCGATGATGTGCTTGAGCAGGATGGAGTTCTGTGAGAAGCTCTACTTAATTTTTTAGGCATTGGTGAATTGCCAACGCTTTTTGTAGGCGTGTAAACTGCGTGGAGTCTTTTTATGTCACGACGGAAGGATTCCAAGCAGAGTTGTTGTTACGGGGACATTTCCAAGCCTACTTTGCTAGAATCGATAATGGTCGGCATAATAAAATGTTGAAAACGGCGTCAATATTTCGTAATTGGCAAACGTAGTGTTCGATTGCTGTCCTTTCGCGTAACAATCACGCCAAAAAGCAGGTTCTAGCTTTATAAAAATGCGTTACACAGGGCTACAATTAAACATTTCTAGTGGATGAGAGAGAGATTTCAGTGAGTGCCGGTAAATAAACCAGCACAGGGGGCACCCTGATTAGACTACTTTTCAAAGGGCGGTGATGTCAGACACAGTACGATGTTCAGAGGAAGAAGGTGCGATCACTGGAATAAGAGTTTTATTTGCCTGACGTTTCGGTTTCCCTCGGGAATCCTTAATCATAGGTGATGATAACATAGGCATGATCATGCGCAGATGAGGTACGATGTGCTGAACCAATATAGGGTAAGATCAGAGCGTGTTAGGTATTATTGGGGATACACACCCATAACAAATGCCCCATATAAGGAGGTTATCGAAAGAAAACAGAAAATGTTAGATAAATTAAATAGTCATGTTTACTGAGTGAAGATTGACAGGCGGGCAAAAAATGCATTCAAAAGTCAACCCCCTGTCATTTCTGAAATATTTTGCGACCGTGTTGCACAATAATATCTAAAACAGTATTTCTAACTTTGCGAGAGTTGCGTTCCAAAATCCCCGCGAATATTGTAAAGGCGCGAATTTCAGGCGAGGTCTAAAAAAGACCTGTGAATACCTTTCGTCATATGATAAATAGTTTCTCAACTTAGCTCAGGTTCATATAAAACTGCTGAAATATGTCCTCAAAACACTTTAAGTTCATTCAAAACTTATGTTATAATTTATATTTCTATTAAGACTTCCATAAGTAAAAGCAAGCATATAAAGAACCGTAATCTAAAGGCTATACAGTAAGAAAGCGCACATACTGTACGTGTCCGCATATTCTCGGAGACGTTATACTTTAACATGTATTGTCTCAAAACAAAATTAGTAAAGACTACTCAACTGTATTCCAAATCGTATTCTCATAAATTTAGCCTACAAAATTGCATACGTCTACTGAAACTGTTGCTTGGATTAGGAACTTGCCACAGGTTATCATAATTCCAAGCAAAGTAACATTAAAACTAATACACAGAACAAATAAACGAATAACATCTACTGGAGGTCTGAACGCAAAACAAATAAGTTTGTGAAAATGAAAATTTGGAAGCGAAGATTGTTCGGGCAATTAGTGTAATGCAAACCTCAATTGAAAACGCATTTTGGGATTTTGGGATTTCGGTTAATATTTCCGTCAGTGAATGCACCTGCACGCTGTATTAACTCTGTTTCACACGTCTGTCTTTTTGTCCAGAAAACATCCAAACAGAGAGTGATCAAACGCACAGATGCTAGAGGGCTGGGACGCGGGAGCCGTCTGGGCTCTCACCAGGCGTTTCATTGGCGAAGCCATGTCTTCCTTTATTGCCAACTACCCAATGATGTATCACGACCACTTCAGCGGCTATGAGCCGTTTGTGGCCTCCCTGATCGCAGGCTGCGCCGTCTACTCCTCAATCTTTGTCTGTTTCCCCCTGAGCGGAGCTCAAATCAACCCCGTGGTCACTATTGCCGTAGTCATTACGCGTCGTATGAGCATCATCTACGTGCCACTGTACTGGTCAGCTCAGGTCTTTGGAGCTCTGTGTGCCCTCCAGATTGGTCGTTCTCTGTCGCCGTTTGTGGCCAACCGGACTGAACTGGGCATGGCAATGCCCAAACCCGGTGTCAGTGATAAACAGGCGCT